GTTGGTGAAGACGCAGGCCAGGCAGCAGGCCGAGGCGCCCAGCACCAGGTCCACGGCTGGGGGCACCGTCTCCACGGGCTCCGGGCCAGACGTCTGCTGTGCCCGGGTCAGGGGCATGGCACAGGCCCTGGGGTGGTGGCGCTCAGGCTGTCTGAACTCCCGCAGATCCGCGGGGCTGGGCTGAAGGGGGCCTGAGGCCATGTCTAGAGGGCAGGGGTTGAGTTGGTCAGGCCCGTGGCTGCCGGAGCCCCGGTCTGTCTTGGGAGTCCGCCTGCTCTGTTCAGCTGTGAGGTCTGCCGGCGCCTGGGACACGCCCCCGCTGGCCCTGACCAATCCCAGCTGCCTCTGTCCCCACACCTCCCAGGGGCAGGCGGGCCTGGACCCTGGGATCTGGGGAAAAGGTCACTTGGGCCTGGAGGGAGAGTGGGGGCGGGGAGAAGGTGCCAACCGACCCAGGCGCCTCCTGCTGCCCTCTTTCCGGCCCCGGTAAAGGGCTGGGGCCCCGGCCCTGCCTCCGGCTTAGCCTATCCTGCTCCAGCGAGTCCTGGGCATGGGGGAAGTGCCTGGGAGGTCCCTGACATGGGGCAGGGCGCATGGGCAATTCAGTGGCCGTCCCAACCCTGGCGCTCACACTCCGTGTGACTTCCCCTTTCCAGGCCTCAGTCTTCCAATCTGGCTCCCACAGGCGATGGTCCCACTCTCAGCAGGTGCAGGGACACAGAAGGGCTCTGGAACCCTGGGAGCTGATTTGGAACCCCAGGAGCTACTGTGGTAGATGACCCTGGGTGAGTCACTTCCTCTCTGAGCTTCAGTCTCCCTTATTTGTCAGGTGAGGATACTGACACCCTCCGAAGGGCCTCTGGAGGACAGGAGATGTGAGGACTGTGCCTAGCACAGGGCTTCACCCCATAAAAGGTGCCACATCCCCCCTACCCCACTGCCCCAGGACTTTGGGGTCCTGGGTGGGTAGGAGATAGAAGTCAGGGCTGTTGTGGCTCAGGAGTGACTCAGTGGCTTTAGTCACTAGCAGGTCAGGATTTGCCCACCAGGCCCGCCTCTCCTCCTTTAGGGAGCCCTCCTGGGTTAGGGCAGAAGCTCTGGGATAAAAATGCCCTTGTGCCTGGGGGGTGGGGAATGGAACTTCCACCAGGCCCTGCTGTCCGGTATGTGTGCACAGGTTGGGGCCTCTGCCCATCTTGGCCTCTGCCCACTAGGCAGCGCTCTCCTGCCAGGTTACCCTGGATCACCCAGGTCCCAGTGGAGTCCAGAGACAGAGCCGCCTGGCCACCCTTAGCGCCCTCCACCTGCCAGGCCCACTCCTCCCAGGTCCTGGGGGCAGCAGCAGGAGGGCCGTGAGCTCCTGGGCCTGGCAGGAATGGCATCCGCTAGCCAGCCCTCAGAGCGGGCAGCCCAGCAGAGGGCTGTGGGGACTGCTTGGGCTCTGCTGGGTTTGTTCCGGGAGCAGCCGGCACTCGCCCCCAGGGATGCGGAGGCCAGGGAGGCAGGGGTGTCCTGCCCTGGGGCTGGGCGGGCAGGCCTCGCCCCTGGACTGGAGCTGGTGCTGCCTGGAAACAGGAGGGAAGACAGAGGTCAGGCCCAGAAACGCCCAGGTCTGAGTGCCTGCAGGTGGTGAGTCAACAGAGGCCACGTGGCCTGCGTGCCAGGCACAGCGCAGGGGATGGAGGGGTATTTGCAGAATCAGGGACTGCAATGACCTGAGTGGCCTGGAGAGGGTTGGAGGCCTCCCGTCCCCTGCCCTACACAGAAAGGGCCCGTGACAAGTCTCGGCAATATAACGTGTTCATTTTATTTTAAAAAACAAACCCCAAACCGCCTGACCCCTTCCCCAGAAGGCTCTGGACAAAGCTCCAGGGAAGGGCCAACTCCAGCCAAGCAGGGATAGTCAGGAGATGTCGACACCGGTGGTGGGCTCTGCCCCCTCCAGGCCCTCCCCTCCCCTCTGCCCCTGGGTGCTACAGGCACTGCGGGTGGGGGGAGAGGCAGGGCAGGGTGTGGTCATGCAGGGCCTCCTGGCAGCAGGGAGGGCTGTCGGCCCGACGCCAGTGTGGCGAGGCAGACAGCTGTGCGCGTGGGGCTGGAGTTGGTGGGAGGAAGCATGCACAGACACCCAGTACTCCCACGTCCCTGCACGGCCAGGGGCGTGTTCAAAAATGAACAAGGATGGCCGGGCGCTCAGGGCCCCCAGGCAGCCCTGAGCCTCTGCCCGGACTCCTGACCCAGGAGGCAAAGAGGGCGCCCTGCTCTCCAGGTTCTATCGCTCCCCTTAGATGGATTATTCTCATCGCCATTCTGCAGAGATGGTGCAGACCAAGGAGGAGGCCTGGGGGAGGCTGCACGTCCGCAGAGCCCACAGGGCTCGGATCCTGTGCCCCTAGCCATCTCCGGTTGCTATCTGTGGAGCAGAATGCCCAGGGGTGTTGCCACCATTCTGGATCCCTGGAGTGGAGAGACCCTGTCTGAAGCTACACTCGGTGGCCCTGCCGCTTGGGGCAGAGGTGGGCCGTGGGCCCCTGAGCAGCACGATGACAGCACGACTGTGCCTGCTGGCCAGGGTGCCCCTTTCTCCGCCCCGTTAGGGGCGCCAACCAGCCCGCCTCAGCACCAGGGGTCCCGGGAGGCTCGGCCGCGGCAGAGGCTGTCACTCCTCTGCCAGGCGCTGTGGATGAGGCTCAGGGCATCCTCGAATTTCTTCTTGTTGGAGGTTTCCTGGATCGCCTTGTGGGGGAGGTCCACCTGTGTCGGGGGTGCACAGGGAACATGTAAGAGCCATGGGCCCTGCACTCCCAGGGGCTCTGCCTTGGCCACGGAGCCCCCGCCGGGCCCTCATCTCACCAGTCCCTCCACCCTCCCTGGGAACAACTTCCACGCTGCGAGGTTCTCCTGCTCTTCGAGTAGGGGTTGAACTGATGAGGGGTGATGCTCCACGGCCTCCTCCTTGCTGGGCAGGCCCCAGCTCTCAGGCTGACCCAGGAAGGCATCTTGCGCTCTACTCAACTCTGCATAGAGAACATCTATCCTGAACTATCTCTGCCTCAGGCTAGTCTGGAGCTTTCCCAGGGCTGGAGCATCACGAGTGTTCAAAACCTGCTATGCTCGGGGCCTAGGGCACACCCTCCACACTGGTGAGGAAGAGCATCCTGCCAATCCTGCCCACCATCTGGGTACAGCTCCAGGCCCACCAGAAGCATTTAATCTGTGCTTTTGATAGCAACTGAGATCAGGAATTGAAGTTACTGTGCTCCATTTTCAGCATTAGCCTCAGACTCGCTGTTTCATCCTAAGTTTTTATGTCTGTCCCAGAGCTGTGGTACGCTGCTGTCCCCAGGATCCTAGAGGCAGGCCTAGGTCCTGGGCACAGCCAGGAGCCTCCTCTCCTCAGGGAATGTCTCCTGCTCCCCAGGGTCCCTGGCTGACGGTGTCCTGGGCTGCTGCGTACCTGGTAGATGGTTTTCCACCCTGAGTGCAGTGCAGACAGGAATCGGTCCAGTTCCGAAGGGCAGCTCAGGTAGATGACCCAGGGTGGCAGCAGCTGCTGGCTGTCCTGGGAGAACTCCTAGGGAGAGCCAGCCCCGGTGAGCAGACCAAGCATTCCTTCTGCAGGGCTCCCACCATCCCCTGCCCTTGCCCCGAGCTCACCAAGACACAGTACTCCTTGCCCGGCTCGGTGGAGACGGTGCTGATGTCGGCCAACTTGGCTGTGCCCAGGGAACGGAAGAAGCTGGTCTGGCAATCCTCGTGGCACGTGAAGAGGCGGCTGTTGGTGAGGACCAGGCAGCAGGGGATGCAGGGGCTGGGAGCCACCCCCTGGGGGATGACCTGCAGGGCATCAGCAGGGGCGGGGGAGGAACAGGCTGAGTCCTTCAGGGTTCCCCACTCCAGGAGACCCAGCCAGCCCTCTGTCCTCCCTCCAGGGGTCGGGGCGTGGGTGGGGGTGGTGACAGGCATGCTCCGGCCACAGGGCCCCCAAATTCCAGACTCCATTGCTGAGCTGCCCTCACAGGCTGCCCTGTGACGGGGGTGGATTTGAGGCCAGGGTCCCGGGGGCACTGGGTGGGGCCAGCAGAGCTCACCCCTTTGGACACGGCCTGGCAGAGGTGTTGCATCCAGTCAGCCATCTCGGCCTCGCACTCAGCGCTCAGCTCCAGGCAGGGCCGGTCGGCGAGAATGACCTGGAAGGCGTGGGGCCGATCCGTGGTGGTGGACCTCCGGCAGCCACCGCACTGCTCCCCCCTGGGCCAGAGGAGAGGGTGAATCGGGAGCGAGGCGTGGGGCGGCACGGGGTGGGAGCCCTCGGCTTGACCGAGGCGTGCAGACGCAGGGCCTGCCCCACAGTGCCCAGGCCTGGAGGATACCAGAAGGTTCTCCAGACCCCCTGGCCTGCAGGAGAGGCCTAGCACAGCTCAGCAGCAGCCCCTTTCTGAGTAACGCCTTTTATCTCCGGAATTGCCAAGCCCCTGCTAGACACCCAGTGTGGCCCATGAGGGGTGAGAATCAGCTCTCAGCTCTGGCCCTCTCAGAGCTGATGCATGTCCACTCATTCTTCCTTTCTCTCATGGACCTGCTGTGCACAGTTTCCATCTCCCGTGGGGTAGGGAGCTTCCTACCTGATGGCCTCCCCCATCAGACTGGACCCTTCCAAGCAAGGAGCCCCCCGCTGCCTTCCTCCTCCCCCACTCTGGGAGCCCTCAGAGCATGGCAACTCCCGGGCCAATTAGGGCTGCTGGACGAGGCAGGGCTGAGGCGGAGAAGCTAAACTGACAAGAGGGGCAGCCATCTTAAGCCAGGGAAAACGGGAGGGAGCTCTGGCCGCAGGCTCGGCCAAGCCTTGAACTTCAGGAGGTGCCGCCTGGCCCCAGCACCGCCCCATCTCCTAGGACACTCACCCCATGTTCACCGAGAGCAGAGGGATGACATCAGTGCGGTCGGGATACTGGTAGAGGATCCCGTTGCTGCAAGGGGCACAACACAGCAGAGGTGAGACCCCGCCAGGAACTGAGCCAGGCAGGGTCCAGATCCCAGGGATCCCCCTCTCTCACCCTGCCGTGGCCATGACCCCAGGGGCAGAGGAGGCCAGAGCCTGTTTTCTATGGAAGGGGAGTGAAGAAAGAACGGGAAGGCCAGCAGGGACATGGCCACTTCAGCAGAGCGGGACACAGCTTGGGACCCTTCTCCTGCAGTACTCAGGGATCCCATGGGCCCCAAAGACGACTGGCTTTACAAGAAGCTCTTGTATCCTGGGGCATGTCTAGTCCAAAGCGCTGGGGAGAAGGCGGGGGTCCTTCCCCGGGTGACCTGCTGCAGAGAGGCCCTGGTTGAGGACTGACAGCCCAAGCAGCTCCAGGGCCCGAGCCTGACGCATGGCGCTGCCAGGGCCCCCACCTGAGCACCACGAAGCATGCCTTCCAGTGTTCCTTGCCCAGGTAGGAGGTGCCCGCCTTGTAGTGCAGCATGCCTTCTTTGGTGATGATGCCCTCGGGGAGTGAGCAGTGGCAGGGGACAGGGCCCAGGGACTCTTCTGTGGGGTCCTCCCAGTGCACAAGCCCGTAGAAGTGCACAATAACAGCGGATGCCTGGAATGGGGGAAGCAGACAAAGCGGCTGAGGTCTGGGACAGGCAGGAGGCTGAGCCAGGACTCAGCTCACAGATGGCCCAACACCAGGAGCAGCCGAGAGAGCAAGGATGCTTCAACATCAGGACACACCCCGAGCAGGGAGGAGGACAGGACAAGTGTGGGAGAGCCCTCCCAGGTGGGTGACTGAGAAACACCACAGACATCTGTTTGCAGCATTCAACCCTAATGCCAAGGCTGCTCCCTCACACTGGTATCTCAGGGGCGACACCCCGTCTTCCTCCACAGGTCTTCACCTCACACTTAGACTCCTGGGCCACAAATTTGGCCAGTGCCAGCTTCTCCATGGTGGCATCAGTCAGGATGCTGGGGTAGGGTGGTTCCCGACAGCCTTTGATCATGGCTGACTTCAAAGAAGCCAGAAAGAACCTGCACAGGGAGTGGGATTTGTGGTTAGAGGCCTGGGAACGGGGCCTCAACTGGACAGGGCTTAGTCCTGAGAGCTCCTGGCCTGGAGGGGGTCACAGGAACTTGGGGGAGGGGCCCGACTGGAACCAGTACCCAGGGCAGCAGGTGAGGCAATGATGAACTAGGGGTCCAAAGTCACCAAACGGCAACTGGAAAAGGTCTGACCATTCTCAGTGGCCAAAGGGCCTTGAATCTTGACAGGGACGACAGACAAGGTGATGGTCAGTGGGGCTTGGACAGGTGGGAACTCAAGTCAGTATAATGATGTAAGTATCTGAGGGCACACCACTGCCCGGCAGTGTGGTTCTCTGCTTTTCTTCCTGTTGGATAACACATGCCAGCCCCCTTCCCCTCTGGAGGTCACGAGGGGCGGAGATCTCCTGGACTGACCATACGCATCAGTCCACTTGCCTGCCTCTGGTCAGACTGCAGGTTCTCCCCTGCTGGGTCCCCACCCCTCACCCCCAGGCTATACCACACCCATGGCAGCTGCTGATTCTCCAGTCCTGCTGGAGGGAGGGGGGCTGCCACTCACTCAGCCAGGGCCACGTCAGCTGTGTCCAGCAGAAACTGCTTCCTGCGGTTGGTGCATACCAGCTTCACCGTCTGCTGGTCGAGGCCAACCTGCCAGAAACCACACCCTGACATGCACACGGGGCTTGGCTGCTGCCTGGCAGAGGAGGCAGCGTGGCCAGACTGGGTGCTGGCTGGGGAGGAGGAAGCATACCCTGGGGTCACCGCCAAGTGAAGCCCCTGAGGCCTGGGCCTGGCAAGAGTTAGGGAGGGACGGTCAGAAATCTGGTGCAGGAAGAGGCAGCCTCAAACGTCCCACCCCAGCATCATGTTCAAAAGTTTCTGAGTGAAGGTGATGCTCAACCCTGAGAGGCTGATTAAGGGGACGTGCCTCGCTCTGCTGCTCTAAGGGTGGGTGGCCCGAGAAGTTCTGTACCCAGAGCAGGTGCACCAACTGTGGAGCCGGAACTCACCGACACATAGTCAAGTTCATTGTAAGAAACAGCCTCTTCCACCAGGTATGGCTTCTCTGTGGCCCCTGAGAGAGGAGACCCCAAGGCCTGTTACCCTCGCTGGGTTCTTTTCCTTCCCGTGCCCTGCTTTCTCAGAGCGGACCCCTCCTTGCCCTGCGGTCTGAAATGACCCGGGGGGGACTGGCGTGGTGTGCCCACTGGGCATGTCTCAGGGCTGCTGGCAGAACCCTCCCGGGAGCGCCTTTTCACTGCTGCATGCCAGGTGGCCAGAGGCACTCAGAGGGCGGAGGGATCAGGGAGAGGGGGCGAGAGGCAGTCTCGTCCCAACCCGCTCTCGGGCTGGGGGCAGGCACCTTTCCGGAGCAGGTAGACATAGCAGTCTGTGAGCAGCACGTAGAGCAGCTGCAGGTTGCCCTCCATGTGCCCGGTGCTCATCCGGATCATCTGAGGGACCCAAGCAGATGGAGGTCAGGCGGCGCACGGCTTGGCGCCCTTCTGATGGCTGGCCCTTCTAATGGCTGTCCGGTGGCCTGCCCTGCCTTGCCCCGCCCTGTCCGCGCTGCATCGCTCATTCCTGAGCTCCCAGGACTTACTTTGAACAGCTGCTCTTCGTTTTCTCGAAACACGTGGATCATCAGCAGGAGCAGGTGATTGTTGTCCACTCTGAGGGGCCAAGTGGGGAGGGCGAGGTGTCAGCTCAGGCGGGCGGAGAGGCCACATACCCTCAGAGCCGGGCAGAGCAATGTTAGGGAGGGAGGGTCACCTGGCTCTGGGTCTCTTGAGAGTTGTGCCCGATTTGTTTGGAGGCCAGAGGCCCAGTGTCCCTGGCTTCAAGGACTGGGAGAGTCTCACAGTCTCGCTTACCTGAACTCTGATGAATGGACCATCTCAGAAGGGCTCCCCTGGCCCTCATCCACCCCAGAGTCCTCAGCGCTGCTCAGACACGGGCTGGGCTGGTCTTGCTTGAGCCGGCTAAGAGTTTCCTGGGTCCCAGGTTCCGGCTCGGGCACAGGCCCCTCCCTGACCAGGTCCCGAGCCTCCCTCGTGGTGTCCTCTAAGGGCCGAGGTGTCTGTCCCTCTCCTCCTCCTCCCTCTTCTTCTTGGCCAGCAGTCTCAGGGCTACCAGGAACATGCAGCGGTTGGCCAGGCCCTGCAGGGTCATGGTTGCTGCCACCTGATGTAACAGCACTTGGACTCTCGACGGTAAAGCGGTAGAAGTCCATTGGGGCTGAAAGCCCCTCACTAAGGTCGCCCAACGGCGGCCTCTCCGGGGCATCCCCGGGAGAGCCGGTCCGAAAGGACTGGTCTGGGGGCTCAACGTGGGAACACCAGGTGCTGGGGTCCAGCTGCCCATGGAGCTGGTCGATGACCTTGCTCAGGGGCTGTCCCAAGCGCTCCATGGAGGTGTCCTTCATCTCGGGGATCAGCAGGCCCATTTGGCCGAGCTCCGAGCGCTCGCTGCTCTCTGCCGTGCTGCTTAGCCGGTCTCCCTCCTCCTGCGGGGAGGCGAGCATGGTGTCTGGCGAGTCCTGCCCAGGGCCCGGGCTGCTGACCAGGCCGTCTCCATCTTCCTGCTTGGCACATTTCTGCTGGCTAGAGGCAGGGTGAAGGGGACTTGCTTCCTCATCCGATCTGGCCTTCTTCTTCTTGCCAATTTTCTTCTTCTTGGTGACCCTGGGACAGTGATGATGGGGAGACATTTAACACCTGGGTGTGAGAGCTGACCCTGGGCATGAAGCTGGCACTTCAGCAGGCCTGCCCCGTGCTAGGTGAGAGGCTGTGGGCCAGGGAACGACAGCGGCTCAGGCCCTGGGGTATCGCGCCCACTGCTGGCGAAGGTGGGGTGGGAAGCATGGGCTGGGGACAGCACAGGAGAAGCACAAATGGCCGCAGCCAGAGGAACCTCTGAGTAGAACTTCCTCCTGATGGAACAACGGGGCTAGGTGTGCTCTAGAAAACAGAAACAAGCCATGGTTGGTCAGACCAACGGCCCTATCACCCAGCCCTCCAGTGGGATGTGGACAGTGGACCCGGAGGTCGCCCCCCGCCTATTAGGTATCATCATGGATGAGTCACCCAGAAATGTACTCAGAAGCTTCTGGGCTCAAAGCTCCTAGCCCTACTCCTTGGTTCTAAGTTGGCTGGAACGGGCCCAGCCAAGCAACTCTGGGGTGGAACTGCTGATGTGTTCAAGGGGTGGGCTTCCTGGCTCCAGTCATGGGGAGCAGCCCCCTGCCTCAGGCCAGCAAGCCCCCAGGAAGTCTCACATGCTCACTGGGCTTCTCCTCCTATTCAGTGTCTAGAGCAGGAGCTAGGGAGGCTGGGGAGACAGGGAAGGCAGGGGAGGCCAGGGAGGTGATGAGGCTCTGGCCTACAGTATCAGCTTGTCCTTCACCTCCTCCTTCCCTTCTGTGTCCCTGTCGAGACAACAAAGATACTTTCTTTCAATGAGCCAGGCTGAACTTGAGTTGGTATGAATCGCAGAAATTGTACATTAACTTCCAAGAACTCCCTTGGGAAGAAGTCCAGGCTGAAGGTGCTTTCTGGCCCTAGATGGACCCGACAAATACCCTGGCAGCCTGGACACAACCCCAGAAACCAGTGTGGTTGTTGCCTGTGCCACCTGCCTCCAGGGCTTATGCTTTACAATGACTGAATGTCTGTGTCCCCCCCCAAATTCCCATGTGAAATCCTAACCTCTAATGTGATAGTATTAGGAGGTGGGGCCTCTGGGGGTGATTAGGTCCTGAGGGTGGAGCCCGCAGGAATGGGACCAGTGCCCTTATAAAGGGACCCCAGAGCACTCTCTGCTCTGCCATGTAAAGACACAGCAAGAAGAGGGAGAAGACCTCACCAGAGCCTGGTCATGCCAGCACCCTGACCTTGGGTTTCTAACTCCGGCGCTGTGAGAAACAATGTCTGTTGTTGAAGCCACCCAGACTAGCGCACTTTGAAATAGCAGGCCGAGCTGACCGTAAGGCTGAGGTCTTATGTTTCCTCTTGCTCAAAGAACTGCCTGAAGGCAGGAGAGGTGACTTCCCAGTCTCCAGGAAGATGTCCAGCTGCCCTCAGGGGGCATCCTCGTCAGCCCTGGACTAAGAGCCATTGTTAGTAGACAGGCTGCTGCCCAGGACCCTAGGATGCTACCCAGCTCTTCTCCAGGGCCTTCCCACTGACCTGATGACCTCGAGTTCTGTGCAGGTGTCTGGCAGGTCCAGGGCCTGGGACTCTCCCTTCTCCTGTGAGGTGGTGTGCACAGGGGTGGTGTCAGAGGAGGACACCGTCTCTGCCTGCTCCTCATTGAAGGGGTTGTACCGCTGGGTGGGGCTCCGGGTGGAGGCCTTACTGCTGGCCAGGTCTGAGGCCGTAGAGCGGGGGCCACTGACAGTGTCTGTGAGATCTCCATCTGGCAGGACGAGGAAGCAGGGACAGCCCGTCAGACACCCTCTAGGTCCCTAGGCCCGGAGCATGCCTTATCTCAGGTGGGAGGCAGGTGAGCTCCTCCCAGGGAACCCTGATGGGGGGCCTCATTTCCAGGGTGGAAGCCCCAACCTAACAGAATGTGGGATTTGAGATTTAGGAACCACTCGGAGGGACCACTGTCACCACCACCCCTGGGAGCCCCCAGGGCTCATGACAATTTGGCCAAGTTTGTGTTCAAGGCGCCAAGTGTTAAGCAGCCTCCAGGCTCAAGCTTCTTAGGGATGGTGACCTTAATGTCTTCATGGTGGCTGGGAGTCGCAAAGAGGAGTCACCTCTTAAGTTAACCTCAGTGGCCTCAGGCTGCTACGGGGGTGCCCAGCAGCTGTTAGCCCCTCACCATTTGCAGGGCTGAGAAGTGCCTGAAGAACTCTGCGGGGTCCCCTCAAAGGCAGATAGAAAGGTACACCAGGGAAGTGAGAATGAAGGAAGAGCTCAGAGAAAATGAGGGGGCAGGGGCCGAGGCTAGGACGGGGAGCCTGAGGGCTGAGGACCACAGTGGGCAGCAGAAAGAGGGCCCAGGCAGAGAGAGAGGAGATGAGAGAGCAGGTTGATGAGAATGAGGGGTGGAGGGGAAAGGCTGGTGGGGAGTGGCTGCCTGCAGGCTGCTTCGCCCCAGCACACTCCTGGGGACAGGACCAGGCCCTGTGCAGGTGGTGCTGAGACCTGGGTTCATTCAAACCTCAGCTTGCTGACTGGTCCTGAGCCACCCTCACCCATGGTACCACCTGAGGAGAAGGTGGGGGACAATGCTGCCCCTCCAGACAGGGGCTGGTTTAACCGCCCACCGACCCCTCCCATCCATCCCAGGTACTGGAACAGGACAGGGTGAGGAGGGACCCCAGTGTGAAAAGCACACAGGCCATTTACCCAGTGGCAGATGAAAGTCGCCCAAGCAAAGGACTGGGGCCCCGCTGGTGAAGCCACCTGCATGAGGGTTAATGGCCAGGCTGACTACGCTCCATTTGCTGGCCTGTGACCATCTGCTGACCATTATCCAACCAGAAGAGGGGAAGCAAGCATGCTCCCACAGCCCCACTGGAGGGGCCCAACCTGTGTCACTGCCTTAGTGGATCTTGGGAACCGCGGGCGGCTATCTGCTGATGCAGCTCACCGTGCATCTGTTGTTAGAAGTCCACTGTCTTTTAATAGGAGGACAAGGGGGGGCTGGGGGCGAAAAGCAATGGCCAGTCCTGCCAGAAAAACACCAGCAACATGAGCCTTTCTTCCTGGGACCCCAGAGCTGAGTTCCCAGACGCAGGAAGCCAGGCCCTTTGGCCCCAAGAGGGCTCCTGCAAAGTCCGTGTGCTCTCGTTCCACGCCTGTGGTTGGCTCTCCAGACCACCAGAGGTGGTGAGGGTCCAGGCTAGGGTGCCTGCCAGCTCTGTATTTTTTTTTTTTTTGAGTTGGAGTCTCACTCTGTCGCCCAGACTGGAGTGCAGTGGCCGCTCCCGGTCACCACAGCCTCGACCTGCCGGGCTCCGGTGATCCTTTCGCCTCAGCCTTCCAAGTAGCTGGAACTACAGGCACGCGCTACCACGCCTGGCTAAGTTTTTGATTTATTGTAGAGATGAGGTCTCGCCAAGTTGCTCAGGGGGGTCTCGAACCCGCAGGCTCAGGCAATCCACTCACCTCAGCCTCCCAAAGCGCGGGATGACAGGCTGAGCCACCGAGCCTGGCCAGCTCTGTAAATAAGCCACACCATGCACAGGCTGCCCCAAGTCCCAGCCCCAGGGTCCAGGGCTTGGAGCTGCCCCAAGTCCCGCCTTCCTCCAGGTTGGAGAAGAAGAGAGGGCCTCCCAAGGGGAACCGCTAGAGTGCGCTCAGGAGCAACTCAAGGAATTAAGGAAGTTGAAGGTCATTGCTGGGACAAATCTCACCCTGCCCCAGGGCCCAGCCCAGTCCGAGCAAGCAGAGCAACTGGGCTGTTAGTTCTCAGGCCACGGAGAGTTCTGAAGGGAAGGTCAGGCCTGCTTATCCAGTGACGGCAACAGACATGTCAGGAGGGGGTTAGTTGTTAGAATCAGAGGAGAAAAAAAACCAACGCCCAGCATGGGTGCTGCCAGAGAGAGGCTGAGAGGACAGATGACGTAATGATGGAATTCTGGACTTCAAGCTACTCTAACTAAGACATGGGACTCTTCTTCCTCACTCCCCTTTGGCCAAGTGACATACTTTATTTTTCCCAGTGCCATATCCTATTTCCTACAGGTTAAGCTATTTTGTCCCCACATTATGTGGGGAAGGATCACCTGTCATCAACCACTCAGAGGTCATGTCTCTAGTAAGGCAGGTGGGTCACCTGCTTCTCATCCTCAGGGTGAAGCCATCCCCCACCACTTGTTTAGAGGCTGGGTTTCCCCCACCTCCAGGTTGGAAGTGGCTTACAAGGCAAGAGGGTTTTTTAATAAAGGGGAAGTTGTGTGCCTCAGATTTAAGGGGGAAGCATTTGCCCTATCAGAAACATACCCTCTGCTTTGAGTAATCATGGCCACCTGGGAAATGGCTTCATAAATTTATACAAGCCCAGAAGTAGAGTTTTGGGCAGAAAAATGCCCAAGCTCAGCTGCTGCCTGGTAGACAGGGTGGGAGGGCTGACAGATTTTATTTTACTCTGCCTTACAACTTCAAAGAGTTTCTCCCTATAAGAGTTTCAGCTGTCCCTGGGCCAGTCCCTCACTTGGACCTTAATCTCTTTCCAAAACGCCCAAGAGGAGAAAGCCATTAGGAACAGATAGAAGGAATCCAACTCTCTGTCCTTCTCCCAGATGCTTGCCTGACCTAAAGGAGCTTACAACCCATAAAGGCATTGTTTTCCAGAACAAGTCTCGGCTCACTGGGTCAGGGCACTTGTGCTCTGCAAGTTAACAGTTCTTTGCACCCCTCATGTGCATCCACTGGCAGCAAATCAGGAAGGGTGATCCAGTCACCCCTGAAACACAGTCACTTAGTGACTCCCAAAGGCCAGTGCGTGGGTGTAGCTCAGTGGCTCAGTAGCTCACCTGACTGCAAAAGGCCACTACACAGGAGTCCTACACTGGGAGACGGCATTTGCCTAGGGTCAACAGTCAAGATCCCTACTGCAGAATTCCATCTGTTAGAACACCAAACTTGGCTTTATTATGATCATGGACATTATTATCAATAATAAGGAGCTGATTTTGATACATGCAGCAAGCTTGGCATGGAAACATTACAAAACCGGAAAAGAGGGTAACAGCGGACTTGGTCCCACCTTCCCAGTCTGTGCTGGGTACAGACGGCACTGCTGGGAACACATCTCCAAAATCATAATCTACAAAAACGAGGGACAAAACTAAGATTAGAAACAGGCAGTGGAAGGACAGGGAGGGGAAGGGCAGTGGGGTGGGGGACACGGAGAGAACAGGAGACGAAAGATGTAAACTTTCTACATTGTATCTAACAACCTTGGAGGAACTAAACCAGATCCCACTGCTTCTCAGCTCAGGGGCTGGCCCAGCGGCTTCTGACTGGCTAGACCTGTGAGGGCGCTCCCCTTCCAAACCCAGAAGCTGGCCTTGGCTGAAAGAAACCTGGGCTCCCTTGCTTTCCACCCCTTGCCCTCCTTCAGGAGGGCTAGGAAAGTTCACTCTAGCAGCTGGAGCTGTACACTCTCCAAACTGCGGAGACGAGGTGGGCTCAGGGACACTCTGGCTGCTCCTGTGAAGACCCATCCCTTGATTTCTCAAAGATGGCCCATGGGCCCAACCTGAGGAGACCGAGGCACCATCTTCTCTTGTACAACAAGCAATGCAAGTCTTGCTAACAGCAAGTCTGAAAATGATCCTCCTCCGGCTGGGACATATAACCCGCAGCATAGCAGGAGGAAGGAGGAAGGTTGGGCAGCCCCCTCGGGTCCCCTCCCACTGTGGGAGCTTTTCTGTCCTCTTAATAAATCCTGCTTTCAAAAAAAAAAAAAAAATAGAGGAAGGTCAAGGTCTCAATGCTGAGGCAACTCTAGGGAGCCCCAGAGACTGAACTTGTGCTTGGATCCCCTTCCCTGGAGGGGGCTGGGGTGAAGTATTTGAAGATATCTGGTTTCCCACAGGGGTGAAGGTGGGGAAATGGCCAGTGTTATCAATGAACATGGAGGCCTAAGGTTTGAAAGAAACCAGGCTCCTCAATAAGTTGGCAGATCAGGACAACAAAATGACAGACAGCTTCCTTCTCACTCTGATGCAATGGGTACAACCATCCCTGACACACTGGTGAGTGCAGGAGGGACTCAGAGGAAGCCCCGGACATCTGGGATGCCGTGGCAAGTGTTCTCCTCTACCTTTAACCTACATGGCTCGCTCTTCTCTGTCTAGGGGTTGCTTGGCCTCTTTCTGCCTAGAATCTGGGGTAGGACAACCTCCCCAAAGCAGGAAACACTCACCCCTGCGATGGCCAGGCAAGAGTTACTGCTAATCCCTCCTTGCTCAGAAAACTGTCCCAGGCATGTGACTGGAGCCTTCTGGCAAAGGGTCTAACATTCATAAAATCTTGTTTTCGCTTTTTGTGCCCAGAATTCATTTTTTTAGCCACCACAGGAACTCAGGAAATAAGATCTGGGAAATGACTGGCCCTGTGTAACCGCACATTTCAGCCACCAGACCTAAACTAAACTAGCCGAGAAAGACATCACCCCGCCAGGCCTCTGCAGCTCCAGTCTGCTTCACGGCAGAGGCTCAGTCCCTTTCTGCCCTGGGCCACTCACCCTCACTAGATGGGGCAATTGCACTGTCATCCCACTCCAGGTTGGTGGAGGTGACGGAGTTGAAGGAGTTGAGGGATAGGCTGTCTGAGCCGTGGACTGAGCTGGGAAGGCGGTCTTCAAAGTCCAGCAGGTACTGAGGTTTGTAGTAGTCAGGCATGTAGGGGGCCAGGTCTAGGTAAGGGGCGTCCTGAGGAGAGAGTAGAGGAGGGGTGTTTGGTGGGAGGGCTCAGGGAGCCTTACACAGATGGTAGAATCCTGGCTTGGGACACACAGATCGGCCTGTCACACCCTCCATGCTAGTCTTTGGAAATCAATGGGCTTGAAGTAGTAAAGTCAGAGCTAAGCTGGTAGGAGGAGCAACGTGAGTGGGGCTTGCTTTTCAAGCTGTGGACTTTGGGCTGACAGAAGACAAAGCTGTCAGAACTCGACTCGCCCTCTGACACCTCCTCAATCTTATTATTATATTGCTCCTGTTCTCTAATTCCTTCTACAGGGTGAGCATACCTTATCCTCAATCCTTGGCATTTTGTTCTGGATTTCAGATTGTTTTGGATTTTGGAATATCTGCATCATACTTACCAGCTGATCATCCCTAAACTGAAAAGCTGAAATCCGAAATACTCTAATGAGCATTTCCTTTGAGTATCATGTCAGCACTCAAAAACTTTCAGATTTAGGAACATTTCAGATTTTGGATTTTCAGCTAGGGATGCTCAGCCTGAACTAGCCAAGTTCCCTTTTCAGCCTGTGCTACTGGAGGAGGGACCAAGGAGGTGATGTGATTAGGACAGGGCAGCGGCATCCATCTTGCCGAGCCTGAGTACGAGAGGCGCTGGGGAGCCTCTTCAGCTCTGTCTGGGCCACCGTCACATTTGTGTGGCACTGAGGGAGGCTTGGGAATGTGGAGAGGGTGGCCAAGAGCACGTCGGCTGGGACGCACAGGGTTGATGACACTTGGCAGAATCCCAGGAAGCACAGGGCTAAACCCCCGTTATTCGAGTATTTCAGTTTAGGAATGACCAGCTGGCAAGTATAATGCAAATATTCCAAAATCCAAAAAATAACCCCAAGCTCTTTCTTGTCATTTCATGCACTCATGTCCTAAACATGAAGGCATGTCCTAAACATGAAGGCAGATCCTTCTGGTCTAAGATACTCCAGGCAATGTGGATCTTCTCTAAGTTGGACAGAGAGATAAGAAGAAGTCACCTGAACCAGGAATTCTTGCCATAAATAGGCCAAGAGAGACTCTCTCCTCTTCCGCTCCATTCCACTGACTCTGAGAACTTTCCCTCACTTAAACTAGGCTTTGCCCAAGCTTAGTCATACCTAACAAGTTCCCCAAGAGAGACTTGAAAAATGAAACCGCCACCCACCTGCCCCCAACCAGCCCACTCCTCTGCTTCCCACAGGCAGCGAGAGCCGTGGTGTCTCACCAGATCCAGGTTGAATCGAATGAACTCCAGCCCGGACACCAAGGTCAGGAAGAGTGTCAGGTGATCGTGGCTGCAGACCAGGGCGTTCCTGCGACACAGGAAAAACCACAATGGTGCTTCTGGGTTTGGTTACTAGCCTGGCCCAAGCTCACCAACATGCCAACTGTGTTGAAATTTGACACGTGACATCCCCAACCCATGGACGGCACCCAGCTTGATAAAGCCGTCACCCACCACTCTCCCGGTGTTCTGGTGAGTTTGGAGCCACATTGCACTGTCCTGCCAGTGTCTTCAGAGACCCATCTGCAGCATAAGGCGTGTGAGGCTCTCAGCAGCTGCTATGAATATGCTTTCCTGCAGCAACCCCAGCAAGAGTTGAGCCAGAGGCTGGACATTTGGGTCAGGTCAGAGACCCAGTTGGAGGACCAGGCAGTGGTACAGGAGGCTGGGTGGGGGGACACCAATGCTCCCCATGAAAGCCACCATACTGCCCACAAGGTTTTAATGGCTCTTTGGCATCACTGATGTGTCCGCAGCATGCAATGCCAAGCTAGCCCTCTGATGTGGCACATGTGATGCCTGCATATGACAGGAACTTTGGGAAATGGGTCAAGGAGCACTGAGGCCTGGGGAGACAGACCGTCCAGACACTCACTTGACGTAGTACTTGTGCAGTAGCCCCAGGTTCTCCTGGAACAGCCGCAGGTAGCTCTCCAAGGAGTTCTCGTTGAGGGCCAGGTACAGCCAGGCCCGGCCTGCAAACAAAGGCAGGAGTAATTGGCAGGAAGGCCTGTCAGGGGCTGGCTTTTCTTTTTTTTTGAGTTGGAGTTTCACTCTGTCCCCCAGACTGGAGTTCAGTGGCACGCTCACGGCTACCGCAGCCTTGACCTGCTGGGCTCAGGCGATCCTTCCGCCTCAGCCTTCCATGTAACTGGAACTACAGGCATGTACCACCATGCCCAGCTAATTTTTTAACTTATTGTAGAGACAAGGCCTTGCCAAGTTGTCCAGGCTGGTCTCAAACCTGCGGACTCAGGCAGTTCTCTCTCCTCGGCCAACCAAAGTGCTGGGATTACAGGCGTGAGCCATTGTGCCCAGCCGGGGGGCTGGCTTTTATCTGCCAAGCAAGGGCAGAAAGGAAAGCAAGAGCAAGTGAGGTGCAGGCACTCCTGCAGCCTTCTCACTTGGTGGGCTCCATCACCCTCGAGCTCTCTCTTTTCCCAGTCAGACGCAGCCTGGAGCTGGGCCAGGAAACTCTGATAAAGAGGGCAGTCTGCACACTTCAGATGGTCGCGAGATGCCAGCTCAGGGAGAGAAACCAGGCCCCGCGTCCTGTGCTTGGGCTGGGATTCCACAGGATCCAGCTCTTGTCAGCAGCTGTGTCCCCTCCCCCATCACTGCTATGCCCGCAGACTGTCACATGCATGGAGAAAAGAGGCCATGTGGAGGGTGCTAGTACTTTAACGCCCCACAGCCACAGGACACCAAAAGGTAGTCAGCCTTGCAGGGGTAACCCTGAGGCCAAACCTGAGCCCCCCCAAGCTCCCCACAGAGAGGGTGGTGCTGGTCCCTTCTGCAGGGTCTCCCTGTCACTACTCACTGCGCCCCAGGTTGGTGGCCACATGCTGCAGCACCTCGATCTGCTTGATGGCCTCTTTCCGAGTGAAATGCACCACGAGCACCCAGTAGCCAGATGAGAGGTCTTGCAGTCTGAGAAAACAGGACAGGAGCCTCTGGGACCCGTGTGGGTTCACCGTGGGAAGCAGCAGTCAGCTAGTCCAGCCCCTGCCCATCAGTAGAGCCCAAGGCAGGGGTGATGGATTCCCAGTGGGTCCCACAGGCAACCAGCATGTCTTCGCACCATCGTTTCATCTGTGGCTAATCATCCCCTCATCATTTGTCTCTGCCCAGAGACATTTTACTGGGATGATTACTGACAGACTGTAGCCCGCGAGGGTGGGACACATCTCTTTCTACTGAGGGTAAAGAAGAAAGAAAAGGCAGACAAGCGAGGGCTTTCTCTCTGGAGGCTACTCATGGTCCCAGTTGTGCTCCATGTGCTCCCTGGTTTCTAGAAACTTCCTCTCTCTTACCCATACAGCAGGGCATGGTCCAGGTGCTCACACAGACGTTGCAGGACCTTGTCATGGTTCCGGATAGCAGGGGTCTCATCCTCACACGCAGCAAAGTAGCTCTGCAACTGAAAGAAAAAAAAAAATGTCCCTCCAAATCAGAAATGGGCAAAGGGAAGGGCTACAGAAGTTGTAGAATTTAGAAGGTTGCTGAGGCCAGGCGTGGTGGCTCATGCCTATAATCCCAGCACTTTGGAAGACCGAGGTGAGAGGACTGACCGAGTCCATTGGTTTGAGACCAACCTGGGCAACTTGCAGTGACCTTGTCTCTACAATAAATAAAAAAATTAGCCGGGCATGATGTTGTGCACCTGTAGTTCCAGCTACTTGGAAGGCTGAGGTGGAAGGATCTCCTGGGCCCAGCAGGTTGAGGCTGCGGTGGCCATGAGCATGCCACTGCACTCCATTCTGGGCGACAGAGTAAGACTCTGACTCAAAAAAAAACAAAACAAAAAAGAAAGTTGCTGAGAAAACCACAGTCAAATGGTGTATCCACAATGACCAACAGATACGTCCACCTCAAACCGCCCAAACCAACTGATGGTCCTGGACTGGAGGCTACAGAGGGCAAGGGCTGTATTCTTACAGTCCAGTCCCCAAGAGGCTCTTGGTGAGCACGTGGCATGATGACAATTTGGAGCTGGTGAGGAAGTCACAGTCCATGCATCAGCCTCAGTTGGCATCAGGCCTCCCAGGGCCACCGCACTGCACAGCTCCAGGGGCACTGTGCATAGTGCCATCTGCCTAAATGCCAAACACAACCATGGAGTTACAGACACAGTGGCCCTGCTTGGAGCTGCCCTCTGCACACCAAGAGCCATGAACCGGGCAGCCACTCTGACAGTCTTCTTGCCAGAGGCTGACATGGGACACTGGATTTGCCTGATGACCTAACGGGGTTGGATTTGGATCTGGTTGCATGCCAGGGTCATGTTAAAACCTACACCAAGAAGGACACTATTCCCAGGCAGGAATGACAGAAGCAGACTTTGACAGTAGGCGAGATGAATTGCGGTACTACCTACCCCACCAGGCTGACAAAGGCGAGGGCAGTTCTGCTGGCCTAGTTAAAGCTAAGAAAGCCAAGATACTTGGACTGAGTTCTTTGCAACCACAGTTACAGAGGGAGGGCCCCTTTCCCACAAAGCCCAGGAGAATGTCTAAGTTCATGTAAGCTGCATCCCAGTCAGCTGTTGCCCTTCTAATGGCCAGAAGGGAGCAGGACACAAGAAAAAAAGCACAGACCCCTGAATACTGGTCTCAGGTTTAAGCTATTGGGACAAACGTGTTCTCAAGTGTTTTCTGGAAGCAGTGGTAGAGAAGGCTGCAGCAGGCATGATACAGTAGCCATACCAGCAAGCATGTGCTCTTGGAGAGAGGCCAATGATTCAGTCCCGACAACAAAAATAGCTTCTCTTCCCTGTGGCCCAGAGCAACCCTAGCAGCCCTGCTGGCTGGAGACAGACTTCAGTCCAGCAGGGTCTTCCCTTCCCCTCCCCCCAGGGGCAGGTAAATCAGAGCACCAGAAGGAAAGGTTTCTAGAACTGAAAGGAAGAGCAATGAACTACAAAACACGCACAGCTCCCTCTCAGTAATGGCTGGAGGAATTCTTACCCACTTTAGTAATAAGCACTACAGCAATGTTATAAAGTTTGCTTTTTTTAAATTTCAAAATCCGAGTATATCGGAGGTTAGAGAAACTTAGATGTTAGAGCTGGAAGAGCCTTAGAGACCTGGTGCAACCTCCTCATTAAAAAAGCAAAATTGGGCCGGGTGCGGTGGCTCATGCTATAATCCCAGCACTTTGGGAGGCTGAGGTGAGAGGACTGCCTGAGCCCATGGGTTTGAGACCAGCCTGGGCAACATGGAGAGACCTCATCTCTACAAGAAATCAAAAAATTAGCTGGGCGTGGTGGCATGTGCCT